CATTTACGCGCAATTACCCTTGAGAAAGTTATTAATTAACCACTTCTTAAATTATAGATTTACCACTTCTTAAACATTCTGAAACTTTTCTTCCCTTCTATGGGTTAATTAGACCTTTATCACTCATCAATAATATAAATCTATACAGTTATAATATAACTCTATATAATTATTTTATAACTCATCTCTATCTATAAAAGACAGGATACATGTGTGTGTGTCTGTGCGTGTGTGTCTGTGCGTGTGTGTGTGCGTAACGAATGCACGGCTGCAATTTTCGACGGATTTGCACCAAAATTTACATGCACATGCTCCAAGTTAGCGGGAAGGCCAAGACCGATTTTGCATTTCCCAACTCCCATCGATAGTAGAAATAATCGAATTTTTCTGGCTTCTACGGCACTTTTCACGTTGTTTGCGGCCATTTTCTACTGGCCAGAGTGAGAGCCTAGAGCTGGCTGCCACGAATAGGCAGGAAGATTCTATTGGCCAGCGTGAGAGCCAACAGCTGACTGACACGAATGTTAACTAGCATGCTAGCATGCAAAAAAGATCGATAGCTGCATTCGTCCCAAGTGGGAAAAATTTAAATCTGCATGTCACTTTACTCCAATTGGCTCAATCGCTTGCTTAAATTCAACGTTGATTCTGATTCCGCAGAACTGGGTTAATGTGAAAAAGTTTTTTTTCATTCGGTTCTTCCAGTTACGAGTCCTTTTTTTTTTTTTTAAAGCTGATCGTTTTGTGTCCATTTTGTTTAGTTCTTTTTTCGTAACAGAATTAATGTTTAGTACAGAGCTTAGAAAAAATTCGCAGTGTCAGATAGGCAAGAAGTAAGGCATGTAGCAACATTAGCACGGCAAAGGACACTCCTTTAAAGGCAAGGAAGGGCAACAAATATTTTAAGTCAAGTGATAGCGATTGCTGTATGAGTCGTACGATTTTTGAATCAAGCACAGGCAACGCCGGGCCATGCTACTAGTAACTCTATATAATTATTTTATAACTAATTAATGTATATACAAATCAATCCTTATAATCTAAAAAAATATTCTAGTTTAAATAACTGCAAAGGATTGAAAAACTGTAAAAAAACGAATCAATCAATAAATAAAATACTGATTAGGGATATAGATTAGATTCATAGATTTCTTTATATTATCTGTAATATAAATGCATAGAAATTACCAAAAAGGGATGGATAAGTTTATACGTTGATTATAACATAGAATTGATCACCCACTTTATATCCACATTATAATATCTTGTTTGTTTATCAAATTCTGAATTACCCAATGTCTACCGTGTCTACGATTTAAATAGTCAGTGTTGTAACACTAAATCAATAAATAAGCCGTAGAAAATGAATCAATCACTCATGAAAGTGATCAGTTTATATATTTATTGTAATATAGAATTGATCCCCCACTTTATATCTACATTATAACTTTGTAATAACTTCATGGACTTCAGAGGATACACAATATATCCCGAAGAACATTGTGCTGTCTATCTAATATAGGAGGGTCTTTCAAAAAGTTCTCAGCCTCACACACAAGGAGTTGGAGAAACAAGATAAGTTTTCACCATTTTTGAATACAGTCCCCCTTGATATCAGAGAATTTTGTCGAATGATGCTTAAGCACGTTAATCATATCCTGGAAGAATATGGCATCCTTGTCATGCCAAGACCTCCCGAGCATATATAATCATATTCATCTTAACAAAATGACAAAAACGGAGGTGGGATTTGAGTTTAGGAAACAATAAGAAGTCAGATGGGCTAAGTAAATAAAGGGGATGGGCATTAATACAAATCTGCAGTTGGCTGCGTGGTAAATTTTTATTTTAACACTCGAGGGCTAATATCCCTTCAAATCTTTCCAAAATAGTCTTATTTCCGTGCAAATGTATATGCTGAACTCAAATCAACAATTAGATATTGAAGAAACCTACCTTTTTGGATGTTAACGACCCGAAAAAAATCGGACTTTTTCCTCAAATTTCATCAGCCATTATCGGCGTATTGATAAGTAATTCAGTGCTGAATTTTGTTGGTGGACGTATACAATTTGGGCCTATTTACTTCCTTCACTGTAATTCCTTGTAGAAATTAGTACGCGCTTCCGTTAAGCGAAATTTTTGGACTTAATTTAAGAAGAAAGTTAACTTTCAAATATATGTAAACATCGACAAATAAAAGAATAACAAAATAATTTTTTTTTAAGAAGAATTAGGGTTAGGTGATTTTTTTGGTTATTCTTTTATTTATTTATTTTTTTTTTCAAGAAGAAAGTTAACTTTCAAATTAGGGTTAGGTGATTTTTTGGGGGGGTTATTCTTTTATTTTTTTATTTTTTTTTTAAGAAGAAAGTTAACTTTCAAATTAGAGTTAGATGTTTTTTTTTCTTTTGTTATTCTTTTATTTGTCGATGTTTACATATATATGAAAGTTAAATTTCTTCTTAAATTAAGTACAAAATATCGCTTTACGTAAGCGCGTACTAATTTCTGAAAGAAAATAGTTCAGCACTGAATGACGCTCGGGTGTTAAAATGAAAATTTACCGGTTGCGTCAGGTACTTCTAACGGATCAGTGTGGACGGGGGCATTATACTGGAGCATGAGCAAACCTGCACTCAGGTACCTTCTGTGTTTCGATTTGATTGTTTCTTTCAGTTGTCTTAATTCTGATGAATGTCAATTGTTTTTCCCTTTTCCATATAGTCTATCTTGATTACGCCTTCAAAATAATCAAAAAAAAATCCGGAAGCCGTCAGCTTGTCAACAGACGCTGCCTGCTTAAAATTCTTCCATAATGAAGAAGCAGAGTATTTACATTGTTTTCTTTCAATCATTGATTCAGGTTCGAAATTGTGAAATCAGTTTTCGTCTTGAGTTACTAACCTGCGGTGGAGCTTCTCAGAATCAGCCTGGTAGCGAGTCACCCCCAGTATCCTGGAAATGTCAACCCTTTTTTATCTTCTGTTCTGGAGTCAGAATTCTTGCATACAGCTTGCTTATCTCCAAGATAACATTTAAAACAGTATGAACCAAACTGAAATAATGTCTATGGACTTAGGGGTCTGCTGAACAGTGGCTGAGGTATTTGGATGACCTGAGCAAAGGTAATCATCTGTGCCGTTCCTTGAATTCCACAGATCAATTCTTCAGACTTGCATAAGAAGGGGTTCCCTCCGCAAGTGTCTAAGCCATGTGTTTCCGTGGGTGTCAAATTTTTTTTTTTGTAGATACTTAATGAAATCTCAGGCCTACGTTTTGTCCATTTTTAGACTCATCGCACAAAACTCACGTTTGTATGTGCCTCACCTGCACATAAATTAAGACAGAAATCTTAATTAGGTTTCTATAGTTTTATAAGAAATGTTCAGCTATGGCTCTTCTTTCTGGGAGGGGCTTATAACTATTTGATAGACCCTCGCACGAAAAAATTCACTGAAGCGTTTCTCTCCATGTGTGATATTATGCCAGAATAGACATTGCGTTCAAATCTCGCACCAAACTGTAAGAAGATGTCGAAGTTAACGCTGAGTTACTGCCGGCCGCCGAATGCAGAGGTTTTTGACTTATGACAATCCAAATATTGGATAAAACTGATTTGAAATAACTGTTTTATATCTATCTTCGATCCTTATATAAGTACATAAATGAATGTTTAATCTCATGGAGAAATGAAATTGTTAAACATGGCGATAGTACCGGCCACCAATTGCAGACGTTTTTGACGTTAAATCTGTATAAACCTGATCTTGCAACTGTGGGAGCCGTTGTACAAAAGTATATATAAAACCCTCATTAACCGGAGAAAAAACCGCTCTTAACTAACGGCTGATGGATAATCTACCATACGGATAACGAAACCCCTGGGGAGGGATTCACACCCAAACTTTTTGAGAGTGACTGACGAAGTCAGGAGCTGAATAGGATAAATGTCTAGTAAATGTTTTCATTTTTCCGGCACACATTTAACGTTAGAGAAGATTGTGTGCGCCACAGAAAAGACATAAACATTCTTGATAATTCTGTATGTTCTGTGGTGTAAACAAGCGTTAGGAGACAAACGAGAATCATGGCCCTCAATGACCAATTTTTTATGCCCGAAGCCATTGAGCTTAAGGCAGCATCAAGTTAAACCAACGGTTTCCCGTACGATCACCGAAGGTAAAAAAAGAGACTGGCTAGTACGTAGATGGGGGACAGCTTGAGAATACCAGGTGCTCTAAACTTGGGTGTGCGGGTGGACAATGTCTGAGAATTGTAAACTGGAGGGACGAGTTCCAATTCTCCTTAGGTTTGTTATATTCACTTACGTGCTAATACCTTTAGGAAAGGTATGAACCCACCTCTTCTCCACTCAGATATAGTTTAATTAATAAGACTTGTCTTACTAAAATATTATCATCTAAAAAAAAAAAAAAAAAAAACTTCTTACAATATAAAAATATTTTCTGAATTTAAATATCCTGCAAATTTTCATATCGTATAAAACGAATCAATCAATAAATGAAATATCGATTAGCTAGACAGACATTTTATTTATATTAATACAATTTATGGTATATAAATGTCTAGGAACTACGATTGCCCTAAAGTGTGTTATCATTTCATATATTCATTGTAATGTAGATGTGATCACTCATTTTATATCCACATTGTGATTTCTTGTTTATCAAATCCGGATTAGGTATTAATCCACCTCTTTCCTGTCAAGTATGGATTAATTAGCAAGATTTGTATCACTATACTATTATTATCGAAATAAATTATTCTTAAAAATGTAAGAACGTATTTTCCGGCTGCAAAATGTTGATAAACCGTAAAAAAAAAAATACGTGGCGTGACGATATAACTCCTGGAATAACCGGAATATTAGCTAGGGTAATGAGTCACTTGAATTTTTGTACTCATGAATGCGGGAAAATGTTCCGTTTTTCTTGAAGTACAGAAAAATTTCTGTCATGCATTCTCGAGTAGTAGACCGAGATAGATAGATAGATAGATAGATAGATAGATAGAATGAATAGATAGATGCGGACAAACTGTCATAGATAGATATGAACAGTCTGAGATAGATAGATAGATAGATAGATAGATAGATAGATCAGAACAAACTGTCATATATATTAACAGTCTGAGATAGATAGATAGATAGATAGATAGATAGATAGATAGATAGATAGATAGATAGACTGACCGACAAACCGTCATAGATATGGACAGTCTGAGATAGATAGATAGATAGATAGATAGATAGATAGATAGATAGATAGAGAGATCCTAGAAAACGGCGACGCAGTTTCGATTAATGTCACACTAATAATTGATTTACCATCCGATGCCCACATAGACCTACAAGATTCTTCGCAAATGTCAAAAAGCACACTTTCTATATAATATATTTCTCGAATATACAGAATGATAGATGTAATATACATTATTTAAAGTAAAAATTATAAAGAAAAACAGACTAGACATCTATTTCAAATACGAGTATCCACTAACAATAAGCTTTGGAGTAATAAAAATATCGAATTAAGATGAACTCCATGTATTCTTTAGTTGCTTTTCCGAAATAGATCAGATGTAGGTTTTCGAGAAAAATATAATCGAGAATGGGGTACGCTTTCCCTTAAACTGTAGATACAACCTTGCTAAACTATGGCGCTCTTCATAGCCGAATGATCACACGGTGGTTTATCTTGCAAAGGATGTCTCTGGTTCGATTCCTGCCGGATAGCAGATTTTCTTTATTGGGGTTTCTCGAATATGCAAGCCGATAGACGTAATACCCACAGTTTAGATTAAAAATTTTAAAAAAAGTGACGCGTCTTTTTAAAATACGAGTATCCACTATAATAACGTTTGCAGAAAGAGATAAATAGAAATGAATAGAGGTACATATGAAGATAGATAGATAGATAGATAGATAGATAGATAGATAGATAGGGACTAGTCAGTATCTGTTCATAGAAAACATCTTATCACCTTCTCGTAGATCGATAAGGAGATGACGAAAATGTCTGGACCTAATCGGAGACAGAGAGATATAGAGATAGATAGAAATGTATAGAGTGAAGTACATATGAATAGAGTGAGATAGATAGATAGATAGATAGATAGATAGATAGATAGATAGATAGATAGATAAACAGGGTAACGATTAGTCCTGAACCTGTAGATAGAAATATAGATCACCTCGAATAGATCGATTAAGAGGAATAACGATTAGTCCTGAAAACCTCATCCTCGTAGATCGATTAAGATAGATAGACCTAATTATAGATAGATATATAGATAGAAATGAATAGAGGTACATATGAATATAGATAGATAGATAGATAGATAGATAGATAGATAGATAGATAAACAGGGTCTAGTGAGTATCTGTTCATAGAAAACCTCTCATCACCTCGTAGATCGATTAAGAGGTAACGATTAGTCCTGAACCTAATTGGAGATAGATAGATATAGAGATAGATAGAAATGAATAGAGGTACATATGAAGATAGATAGATAGATAGATAGATAGATAGATAGATAGATAGATAGATAGATAGGGACTAGTCAGTATTTGTTCATAGAAAACATGTTATAACCTTCTCGTAAATCGATAAGAAGATGACGAAAATGCCTGGACCTAATCGGGGAGAGAGAAATAGAGATATAGAGATAGATAGAAATGAATAGAGTGAGGTACATACGAATAGAGTGAGATAGATAGATAGATAGATAGATAGATAGATAGATAGATAGATAGATAGATATAAACAAGTTCAAATAGAGATATATGAATAAAGTAAGGAAGAAGACGCAAGAGTTAAAGACAAAAGTCCTCTGTTGCACAGAAAAAGTCGATAACAGAATATATTATGAGAATTATATGACAAGATTGATGGCGAATGGGAAAAGAAAAGAAACGGAAAAATGATCACCGAATTCCATTTTAAGGATATTTTTTGTCTTCTATTTATCCTTTATTCTCTATCTGCTGTTTGTTTATTCAAAGAATCATACTTTCCGAACACCCGGAAACAGACACCCCCCCTCCACCAAACTTCATCTTCCCAAGACAACAGAACACGCATCCTGATTCTCGTCTTTAATCTTTAGTGCTATTTCGTGCACTCTTGCTGTGAATTCTTATTTGTTATCAGCAAGAATATGTGTGCAGCATTTCACATTTAAGAGAGCTGAATGTATATTTTCGCCAACCAACATTACCCATCTCGTTTGTTTCATTATCCTTCCCCACCCTGCTTACAGATCTTTCACGACACTATCTATGCTAAATAAATAAGCAAATATATAGATAACGCCTAAAAGCAGAAGCACGAATTTAAAATATGGACAATAAAATGTCCCAAGAGACATACTGGTGAATCTACTAAGAATTTAAATTAAAAAAAAAAATCATGTTAACATAAAAAGGGATATTTGCAAAAGAATACACTGAATGAATTAGTAGTTCAATGTAATAGCTCTGCCCATAATTTCGACGAAAACGATTTGAGTGATTTGTCTCTTTAGCTGCATATCATTATTTATGGGTCATTTAATGCCAAAATTTAATTTTCTTGCGAACTTAGACGTAATCCAAATATAATATGTCGTTCCGTTTTCACAACTGAATACATATGAGCTGATACTCAGCTTTTGTGCATATACATGTTCCGCCAGAGATTGAGAGAAATCAGACAAAAAGACAGACATGCTGGTATTTTCAGTCATGTTTGGGTGAGCTCTCATTGCTCAGACACATGTCACCTGCATTAAAACCGCCGATAATTTTATGTCTATGCAGGTTTGTGAAGATTCTTGTATGTCTAAGTGGGCATCGGATGGTAAATCAATTATTATTCTTAAGATGACCTCTCTATGGACGAAATCCGATACCTAGGATACTTTTATTCACCACAAGCGAAGCAATGAAGTTAGTAAGACGCACTGGGTTACTGCGTGTGAAAGAATACGAGAGAAAAACAATGTTATACAGAAGAAAAGAAAAAAAACAATAAAAGAACAGGAATTGCAAACACAAAAGTTAGCATTTGACATTAGATTTAATGTTTTGAAGATGAAAGTTAACTGGGAAGCAAGAAGACGACAGTGCTCTACTAACAAGAAGCGCGAGAAAATAAAATATTAGCATAGAGCTTACGGTTGCATCTAGTCATTTCGACTGTAAAATGATGAGAATTGCCGCTAAGCTGTATATAAATTTTAAGTAAATAGTTTAAAATAACATTAGAAATATTAACATGAAAATATTTATAGAGAAAGCACAGGGAAATTGCGTTACGGCGGTGGACAAGTGACTGAATCCGAGATGCCATGTCAGGGTCAAAAACATTGCAGATTAATATTTGCATTTTATGAAGAATCTCTAAATAGAAAGCGGATGCGCCAGATTATATATGGCAGCAAATTTCAAAGCATGGACTAAACATGTAGAGAGATTATGACGAATAAAATTGTCCAGCGACGACATACAGTTATGGTACAATGGGCCTCTCGTCTCTCTCTGATTCTGATTATATATATATATATATATATATATATATATATATATATATATATATATATATATAAAGAGACAAGAGGAACACTATTTTTCGTCCTCATTTCTCTTTATATTCACTTTGTCTCCTCTACAGATACTCGATACGCTCTATCTGAGAATATATATATATATATATATATATATATAGAGAGAGAGAGAGAGGGAGGAGAGAGAGAGAGAGAGATAATTTGGTCAATAAAACAAAGTCAAACGAAAGGATACCGATGTAATCAATACGAAAATTACTTATTAATATTAACGACGTGGCAAGAATGTTCTATGCAAAAATTCTCAATCCCCTTCCAGCCACCACCAATCACAATTTTTAAATCTAAGGTTATGTTCACAAAAAGTTTCGCACAGCGAGAAATCAAACAAAATACGGATTTTTGCTAACAATTACACCTACAAGCAGGACTCTACCCAGCCTCAAGAACTAATGCTGGATAGTCTCTACCGTCGCTCTGTTTATTTGTCACACCTGAAGAACACAGGCATGTTCGAAAATTCCGAAGAACACAGGCATGTTCGAAAATTCCGAAGAACACAGGCATGTTCGAAAATTCCTTACTTCATTTTTTTGTCACGTGGTTAATATAAATAAATGTTTTTCGTACTGATTTCATCGGTAACCTTTCGTTTGACTTTGTTTTATTGACCAACTTATCTACTCTATTTTATAAACTATATTAAGCACTCGTGGACTCTTTTTTCTAATTATATATATATATATATATATATATATATATATATATATATGAACATTTCTCGGACATTCAAGCCGGTAAATGTCGTTAATATTGTTTATTATAAACAGAGCATTTACGTAAATATTTGTATCTATAAAAGGAACGTATAAACATAAAGAATGTAGATGTATAGATCACACAAAATAAAATAAAATGCAACTGTTGACTAAAGGTTCATTGCCTAGTGTGTTAATAAAAACCAATCAATGAAAAATGTCAAAATGTCAGCCGAACATCACTACATCTGTACTAAATATTACCAACACTATTAGAAGATCAAAGTAAAACTAATAGATCAAAATTGATCTTACTGGCAGAAAGATAAGCCTTTTATGTTGCAACAAGGTTTAACTAAAATCTAAGAAGCAGTTGTTAAATTTCAAAGTTTAGCAAAATTGTAGAGCCAAAGGTATGGTATGTTCACAATTAACCGTTAATTCAAATCTTTAGTTTAATAAAGCATCCCTATCCAAGAACCCATATAATCTCCATTTTTTCCTCTAGACTCAGAAAACAAATTTCATATAAGTATCTACCTGTCCTTGCCAGTTTTAAAATTTTCCAATCAGGTGTTTTATTTTCATCTATCAACTTCCAAAAAATATTTTGAAAGTGATGTATTATTTCTATACGTATTATTATTAAAAGACGATATGTGTTGATAACCACCGGGTTTTGAAAGAATTCTTAGTACTACCAATATAGAACTTTTCAAGCCTCGGATTTTTCATTGTAGAGATAGAACAAAGATACACAAGAGATTCGAATAAACATTTGTTTGACAATGGTCATTGGCTAGGATTCCTACAATCACATAGGTCAGTATCCTTAACAATATTTTCATTGGAACTTGTATTATGATTAAGATTATTAACTAGGTTCAGAGTTCTATTGTTGTGCAACTTGATAATTTCCTCGAGATTATTGGTGCAATTAAGACAATTATGAATATTGATGTTTATTCTGTTTATATATTTATATAGAGGGGAAAAGGGGAGGAAGTTGAATGCAGCCATTCATTCAACTGAGCGGAGTGTTAATTACAATATAATGGGGATGACAACTAAAAATTTTCCTTGCCTAAATTGATAGTCAAATATTACAGATGAATGGAAGGATTTCTTGGTTTAGTTTGGTATATTTTGTTTTACGGCATATCAACCCCAAAGGGTTATTTAATGCCGACAAAATTTTTAGGATAGATTCATATGAATAGAATATGTATTCTTTGGTTTACATTGATTTGGTTTATTTTGTTTTACGGTATATCAACCTCAATGGGTTATTTAATGCCGACAAAACTTTTTAGGATAGATTCATATGAATAGAATATGTATTCTTTGGTTTAGATTGATTTGGTTTATTTTGTTTTACGGTATATCAACCTCAATGGGTTATTTAATGTCGACAAAACGTTTAGGATAGATTCATATGAATATAATATGTATTCTTTGGTTTAGATTGGTTTGGTTTATTTTGTTTTACGGTACATCAACTTCAATGGTTTATTTAATGCCGATAAGGATTTTAGGGTCGATTCGTATGAATAGAATATGTATTCTTTAGTTTAGATTAGTTTGGTTTATTTTGTTTTCGGGCATATAAACCCTTAAGGGTTATTTAATTCCAACAAATTTTTTATTGCTGTTAATATTTTGTTTTGTTAAAAATCTGTTTCTGGTAATATTTTCCCTTCAAAATTGTATTGATGGTAATAATTAGAATTTTTCAGAGAAAATATGCGTCCTCCAACAAAAATCGAACCTGTATCCTTTACATGATTTTCTCTCATTCATTCATATCAACTCAATGCCTATCAAAATGTAAACAAATGACGTCATACATTATGAAATGGACAAAGTCCTACAATTATTCTAAGACATTTTTATGTCTATACGTTCTTTTTATAGATAAAAAATATTTAAGTAAATGCTCTGTTTTATAATAAACAGTATTAATAACATTTACTGTCCTTAATGTCCGAGAAATTTTCATAGAAAATATGTGGCCCAATCGGTTAAGGCACGTCAGGCTATATGACGGTTCCGTATAGGATACAAGTTCGATTCCTGTCGAAGGACGCATATTTTCTATGAACATTTCTCGGACATTCAGGCCGGTAAATGTCGTTAATACTGTTTATTATAAACAGAGCATTTACGTAAATATCTGTATCTATAAAAGGAACGTATAATCATAAACCATGTTGATGTATAGATAACACAAAATAAAATAAAATGCAACTGTTGACTAAAGGTTCATTGCCTAGTGTGTTAGATTGGTATATTTTGTTTTATGGCATATCAATCTCAAAGGGTTATTTAATGCCGACAAAATTTTTAGGATAGATTCATATGAATAGAATATGTATTCTTTGGTTTAGATTGATTTGGTTTATTTTGTTTTACGGTATATCAACCTCAATGGGTTATTTAATGTCGACAAAATTTTTGGATAGATTTATATGAATAGAATATGTATTCTTTGGTTTAGATTGGTTTGGTTTATATTGTTTTACGGTACATCAACCTGAATGGGGTATTTAATGCCGATAAGATTTTTAGGATAGATTCGTATGAATAGAATATGTATTCTTTAGTTTAGATTAGTTTGGTTTATTTTGTTTTCGGGCA